GCATTGGATAAGTGGTCAGAAAATGGATGGATGGGGAAAACAGTTTGCTCCCTTCGGGAGTATCTGTGCTTCAGTAGGTCCCGCTCCAGTGTGTGTCTTTTGAGTCTGAGTGAATTGGGGGGTTTGCGTTTTGAAAGTGGCAGCCAGCATCTGGTTTTCACGTTTTGGGGCTACAGTTCCGAGAGATCGCGTTCCCTCTCCCGCAGTCCCGCTCCTGTGGACGTGTGCTCCGAGGTCTGTCCTGCCAGCGTGCGCTCTGTTCCAGGCAGGTGGACGGGGAGCGGGGACCAGGCGCTGGGGCCTCCGTGATGGGAAGCCCTTTGTTTCCCGGCTGCCGGCATTCCGGGCTTTTTTCGGAGAGCTGCTGGGAGGGGAGGGGTGGTGGGGCTGTCCTCTGATTCACCTCTCTCTCTCTCTCTCTCCCTCCTGTCTCTTCCTTCTCTCCCTGTCTCCTCTTGTGGCTCGCTGGGCTCCTACTGGGTTTAAAATGTACAGATGGCCGAGGAAAGCGAGCTTGCTGGGCAGCAGTGGCTTACGGCCGCAGGGTGTGAGGTGGACCTGTTTTGAAAAGTGACGCGAGTGGGGCGCGTGCGTCGCACTGTCTGCAGCAGCTGCCCTGCTGCCGAAATGATTCAGACCTTCCTTTCTCCTGTCGCTGAGTAATGTGCCCTTCTGGTTAAAGCAGGGCTCCCCCATATCGGTCCTTGAGAGCAGCTGCCCAGACGGTTTTGTTGGGGTCCTTGAGGCGTCACCAGCAGAGGCCTGACTGAAGTTGAACTCTCCTGTGCCGCTGGCTTCGGGGATCGGACTAGGGGAGCCCTGGGTGGAAGAACATAGAGGCCCGGCTTTATGAATTTCCACTGCGGTGTTAGCTGTGTGCTAGAGAAAACCCAGCTGTAAGTGTACGCAATGGAACAGTGTAGGTGTGTCATTAGTCTTTATTACATTTAAACAGAGTACCTATAATCAGTAGTGCACCTTAAATTTGAATACATTTAATTTTTGCTAAAATTTGGCGGCGTGTCTTCTCAGCAGTCGGGTGTTCTACAGAAAGTCTTCCTGCTTGGTTCGTGCTGGCAGGCTGGTTGGGGCGTAGTGATTAATGCAGGCTGTGCTGGCCCTCTGGTTGGTATGTGCAGATAAAGGCAGGTTTTACAGGCTCCCAGGCTCTGCAGGGGTGAAAGGTCAGAGCAGCCATTTCCACATGGCCCCTCCCCCCAACACAATCCCTGCAGTGGCTTCCTGTCCCTGGACTTCCTGTCCCTGTGGGCTGGCTTTCACAGATAAGTGTACACACAGAGACGGTTCTGGAGCCCTACTGGCACTAGCCCTGCTGATAAGCTGTCTACAGGAGGTATTGATCTGAAGGGATGGTGTGTGTTCTGGGAGGAGGGGGGGGGGGCGTGCACTGGGGCTGTTTTTCCCCAGACTGCTGGCCTGCTCTTATGACAGAGGGCTGGAGCTGATGTTTGAGTTCAAAGGTTGTCTTGCTGGAGAAGGGGGGAGGGGGGGAGTGAGGATCTGCAGAGCAGACAGCTGAAAACTGCAGTTTTGCTGTCCGGGGTTGTGATTGCAGAGAAAGCGCCTCGCGTTGTGCCCCAGGCACAGAGGGCAGCCTCTGGATGAGTCCCCGGTGCTGCGGTTTGTGTTTTCGGCTTGTGTGTGGATCTGGAGGGGAAGTGGGAAGGCTGGATGGGAGAGGGTGGAGTGCGTTTGTGAAAGGTGAATGCCCCGGCGTGGGCGTTGGCGCTCTGGGCGGTTTACAGCCATGCAGGGGACTGTGGGGCTCGGCAGGGTCGCTCACCTCCCAGCTGTCTGCTTTTTACAGCAGCAGCAGGGGGAGGATGAGGGGGAGGGATGGCCATCACCTCTGACCTCACTGGGACCCCCCCCGGCCAGACTGCGGTCTGTCGCCAACACAGAAACCACCCTGTGTGGCTGCGGGGGGCTCGGGCTGGGGGAGAGAGAGGTGTTCACCGGCATCCACTCTTACCTTCCTTTTCAAGTGTACCCTGGAACAAAACAAGACTCCAGTTGCACTGCTGTCAAATCCATCCCAGGTTTTTCTTCAAGTGTGCCTCTTACACAGTCCCGTACCAGGTGCTGTAGGCTTGGTGTTGGTGTTGAAATATTTGCTTCCATTGGTACAGTTTGTACTGTACCATCCTTGCATCCAGTAAGATCAGGAGTGGATCAAAGCAGCTGAGCAACTTGGCGTCTGATTAGATTTCCCTGAAGTGCATCTTGCTATATAGGAGTGTTTTTGGGAAGGTTTCGGATAAATTCCAGATAAAAATCTGTTTGTTAGTCTAGGGCATGTGCAGCTTTTCCGGTATCTCAGGTGGTGGGTATCTGGCTAGGGTCACAGGAGCTTTAACGGGAGGGAAAACGAAACCAAACATATGTGCGTGAGCTGGTCTCAAATTAACAATTCATTAGACGCAGACTAACGCAATTAAAACATGAGCCTAATTAGCTGGTGCGGCACCAGAGGCCCGTGCAGTAACAGCTGTCTCCCGGCTGCAGCCTCATTACTTATTTAATTGAGGGGCGCCGGGAGGTCCAGTGAGCCGCGGCGGGGGGGTGGGGGGGGATTTCCGTGTCCCCGAGGCACAGAGCGCGCTCTGCTGGAGCTCAGGAACATGCTCTCGTTTCCCACGGTGCTTTGAGCGAAAGAGCCGCCCACAAGCAGTCTGGTGGCGGTGGTGATTGAAGCAGAATATTTTTCCCTTACGCTGACGCTGCTGGGATGTGATGCTGTTGCAGCACGGCCTGGGAATCTCACAGGGATTCGCAGAGCTCCGGTTAGCTGCGGCTAGCTGGCTGTGTTTTTCCGATGGTGCACCGATTTTTCCCTCTCGGCTGACAGTGCCGCGGACGTCTCTGACTGGGAGAGAAGGGCAGTTGTACAGAGGCGTGGTTTCGGAGGGAGTGCGGGGTTGGGTGGTGTTGCAGCTCATGGGTCAGGTCAGTAGCTGAGGGGGCCCAGTTGACAAACATGCCTCACCCTGCGGCGCTGCGCCCCTTTTTCTGCAGGGGAGAGCAAGCTCAAGAGCTGACTCGTGCCCCCGATCCTCCGAATTCCTCAGCTGAGTGGAGGAGCTGTGGGCTCGGCAGGGTGCGCTCTCTTCCTTCTCCTCCTCCTCTCCTCCCTCTCTCCTGACACTTGAGCGGTCAGATGTCCTTCACCCCCGCGTCGATCCCTGTGCACTTCCTCTTTCTGTGCAGCCCGTTGCTCTCCTGAGCTTTTCTTTCTCCACCTCTTCTCTCCTGGTCCTGTGCGGTCTTCCCAGATCCCCGAGTTCATCAGCGAAGAGAGCGCTGCCGGGTACGAAGCTGAGTCACTGTGTCCGGTGCAGGAAACGGGGGAGGAGAGAGGAGGGAGAGCGGGAGAAAATGTTCCATGTGCTACGGTTCAGAAAAGCTGGTGTTGTCAATAAAGCCCTGTTCTGATCTGAGAAGAGAGGAAGGAGGATGGGCTGGAGCCAGAGGCACTGCACAATCGGCAGCATCCTCCCTGTATCTGAAACCTCGCCCTTCCTAAAATATTGGAGGAGGGGGTGGGGAGCAGGAGTGTGTCCTGTATGTTCTTTTTCTGTGACATTAGTGCAAAGGCCAGTTACTTAATTTTGACGTGAAATTCTAAACAAGCAACTTCATCTTTATATTCTGCAATTAATTTGAAGAGATGAGGACGTAGAGGTCTGATGGATTTTATGCATATGTTTATATACAAACATTCTAGACTTGATACATGGTTGATAAGTCCAGAGAAGTCCCAAACGAGAGCAGGTCATTTGGCTCATCTAAGCCGCCCTGTTAGTGGCTCATTGATCTAAAGGCTACCAGTCGGCTGCTAGCTTGTCTCATCTAGCTGTTTCTTTAGAGAAGCCGGGGTATCGGCTTCAGCCACGTAGCTGGGCAGCATGTTCCACGCTTCCACCGCCTTCGCGTGAAGAGGTGCCTCCTGTTCTCTGTGAACTTATCCAGTTCACGTTTCGGTGCTTCCCACTGGGTGTTTCTTGTCGGAGCCTGTGAGGCTTTGGAACGCTGGGATCGGGGTCCCCCTGTCATCTCCTCGAGCGCAGGGGAGCTTCAGAGGCGAAGGGCGGACTGGCGCGTGGGACCCCATGTTCTCTAGCCGCGGCTTGCTGTGGACGTGTGCCTGTAGCTTCGTTCTTCGAGAGGGCAGTCGACTTTCCAGCACAGCGGCTCTCAGGCCTCTTCCGGCCACTCGCGTGGACGCGACCTGTGGCCCCCAACCTCTGGCCACACTCGAGCGATTCCTGAGCACGAGGGGTTAATAAGAGAAGGGAGGGGCCCCTGCTGCTGGTAACCCATTGATCTGGGGTCATTTGCCCTGCTTCTCCTCTTGTTCCTCCAGAGCGGACTTGGTTTCCGGGTAGTATGAGGGGCTGGCAATGCCAGGAGGTGTGTGTACCCATCTTGCTTAGCAGGCAGCTGCTGGCAAGTGCTGTAGGTTCCCACATCTTCCCTGGGACATCCTATCCCTATTCCAGACCTGCTTCTCTGGAGCCCTCCCCACGTTAAGTGGGTGGGAGGCATATATGGATATAGCCAGCTCCTTGTTGCCATCCTTTTTCCTTTTTCCAGGGAGCGTGCTGTAGGACGACCCCCGTATCCCAGCAATCCATTATCATGCCCAGAGTCCTTTGTGCTGTGGGCTTCTCTAGTCTAGACGTGAGAGAGAGGGAGAGAGAGAGGCAGGAGAAAGAGCTTGAATTAAGACCCAGTGAGGGAGGTGTGGGGAGGAGGGGGGGGGCAGGCAGTAGATAAGAAGATCTTTTATTGGGGGGGGGGGGGGGGAAGAAAAAAAAAAGTTTTTTTGGGGGGGGGGGGGGACGGGTGGGGAAGCATGCAGGAGAGAATAAAGCCAGAGCTGAGTGCTGAGGGAGGGGGGATGGGAGACTGGAGGCTGGTCAGTTCCTGATTGAAGGGGGGGGGGGGGGGGCTGAAGTGTGTGTGCATGCCTGGGAGGGAAGAGGAGGAGACATGGAGCCGAGATCTGTGGCCAGGCTGCTGACGGGGAGCAGAGAAGAGGCAGGGCAGAGAGCAGGAGAGAGAGAGAGAGAGGAGGGGGGGGAGTAGTGCGAGGGTTTAAAGTATCGTCAATGAGGAAGTTGGAGAACCATTTTCACTATTGGGCAACAGCGGCTGACTGCGAGAGAGAGCCAGAGCTCAGCCCGGAGCTCTACGGGAGCCGTCTCTCTCTCTCTCCTCTTTTCATGGTGGTTTTCTGTTCTCGCGTGTGATTTATGTCCGTTTATTCGTTCCGGTCCGCACAGACCAGAGGGCAGCGTGTCCGGTTGGGCGTCGGGCGGGTCGGGGGGCGGGCTGGGGGGGGCAGCGTTGTGCCGGAATGAGTTCACACAATGGGAGCAGCCCCGTCTCTCCGCGGAGAAGAGAGTGCTGTTAGAAGCGGATCGCGGAGCAGAAGGGGGAGGGAGGGGGAGAGAAGCTGAGCTTTCTTCCTCCTCGGAATCTCCTGCTGGGGCCTGTGGTTTCACAGGTTTTAAAAACATTTTCCGTTGTTTTTATCTTCCGTGTTGGATATCGAGAAGCCCCGAAACACGAGGATTATTTTCTTGCTGTGACCGGGAAGTTACCGTGTGAAGTTTTTCCTTCCTTTTGCTGCGGGAGCAGATGCACGTCTTCTTGGATTACAAAGAGAAACGACAGCAGTAACCAAAAACAACCATTTGTGGGGGCAGTTTCTTCAGAGTGAGTTCTTTAAATGGATTACAAAATGCATTCAAAGTCAAGCGATTTATTGGATTTCCAAACCTTGGATGCCCTTTTGGAGAAAATTGCACACTACTCGCTCACTATGAAAAGGTATGATTTGTTATGTTAAATATTAAACAAGAGGGTTTCTTGTTTTTATATTTTAAGTATTTCATCTTGCTTTTGTACAGTAATAACGCTTCTGATCCTTACATTTTGCTCTGGTGTAACTTTGCTCCTGTGTGCGCGGAGGAGGGGGGACTGGTTTCCAGTGGTACAGACAACCCGTCTCGGCTGTTCTTAGCCGCTGACGGAAGCAGAGGTTTAAGGGGAAGTTGGCGCTGACAGATTTGTTCCCAAGCTGTGCCGAAACCGAAGCGTGCCTGCGGGCGGGTTGTTTGTCTTGGAATTGCCAGCAAAAACCGATTTGAAGTGGAATTTCAGTGGCAATTCCTCTTGTTGCCTGAGATACCCGCTAGCTGAACAGGTTTAAGGTTTTCTCCCATCGCAAAGCCATGGCCTGATCAGCGCCCCTGTTCTTTTACAACGGGGCTTAGGGGGAGTTGGGTCTGACTGCCTCTTGGGGTGTCCCAGCGTGGAGTGTGGCGTTCGGTGGGCCTGCTGGGTCCGGACTGGACGTCAGGCCGACTTTGCAGGGAAACAAAGTCCAGTTATGTTTGAAGAGTTGAGTTTTTTTTACTCCTCAGCAGTGCTGTAAACTCTGCAGACTGAAATGCAAATACTGCCACAATCATGCGTCCTGTCCTGTCTTGAATCTACAGTTTTTAAAACGAGTTCTCCTGAGCAGAGTAGAGCTACTTGTCAGGGTCAGTGGTTTCTGTGTGCTTCTCTGTCTCGGAGGCAAAATCCTTGTCCAGTCTATCTCCTGGGCCGTTACAGAAGATTCATTACGCAATGTGCAATACTGTTGCTGAAGAAATGTGAAGCCTAAAAAGTTCAATAAAGTTTGCTGGTGCTTTTCCAGAATACAGTGCAGGGCGCATGTGGTTTGTTGGCTGGTGATGGTAGTCAGTCTCCTGCCTCGGGAAGCTCTGCAGGGGGTGTGAAGTGCTGATTTCTTTGTGGGTTTTGAGCTCGTTCTGCCACCCGTGGGCCTGAAGCCTGGACCTCCAAGAGCTGCGTGCTGTGTTTCTTTGTGATTCATGTTCTTGTTTGTTATATCGGCCTGGATGTGTTCTGCGCTCCTCCCCCCAGGGTCACCCTGGCTCCGCTCTCCTCTGGGCTCCTCTCCTTGCCCCCGTGTCGCCCTGGCTCGTCTCCTCTCCTGGGTTCATGCGGTCTCTGGTTTTCCAGCAGCGGTGCTCCGGTTTCTTCCCATTTCTTTTCCAGCCCTGTGGCATGTTCAGGCATTGGATTAACAGCACCACCCTGGACCCTTGTGTTTTGCCCTGCAGGCTGCGCGGGTAGTTCACGTAACAGAGCAGTGCACTTGTGACGGCTTGTATGGTATTTACTCTCTCGTGCGGACAGGTGATTGATTTTGTGTTTCTGCTCGTGCTGTGTGTCCTGCGTGCTGCGTGGCAGCTTGGGTCATAGAAAGGCAATTATATGGTCATTGCAGAGTTGTGTTAGTGCTTTCTGAAAGGCAGAAAACAAAACTGGAGTGGTGTACATTTGCGCTCCGAGTTGCAGTGTGTGCACTTCTGTGTTTGCTTACAGCAGGTAGCAGTTTGCGCGTGTGCGTAGTTGAAGAGCGTTTGCCCAGTTGTGGTTTTTGTGGGTGTGCGGAGTGGTTGTGCATGCATATTCCCGGTTGTGTGTGCACAGAGTTGTAGTGTGTTCCTGGTTGTTGTGTGTGTGTGTGTGTGCATGCGCCTCGTTGCAGTGCGTTGTGTGCACGAGGAGTTGGCATTGATCAGATTACCAGAGTCTGTGCCGTGTCCTTCGTGTGTCTAGATGAGTGCGCTGATAACTGACAGTCTGCGTCAGTCGCCTCCCCGCCCTGCAGCCCTTCGCGAGAGGCGGGTGCAGGCAAGTGAGCCAGCAGGGGAAACCCCAACCATCTGAGCATCCTCCTCTGGGCCTGGCGGCTCTTGGAGGCCCGGGTGCGCCGCGGCCCGGCTCGGCCCGCAAGGTGGCGCCGAGCCCCTGCAGTCCCGTTACCTTCACAGCGGGTTTGAGCACCAGCGTTAAGGATCTTCCCTGGTTTTGCTGTTCCGTCTTTCCGGAATTCCTGATGAGAAATGTTTTGGGGTCAGAAACCGCAGAATAATTTCATTTCCGACAGCGAGCCCTCTATCCAGGTGTTGGTCAGTTGGCGGCAGCGCTCAGGGAATCATTAATCCAGCTCAGTCCGTCTCCACCATGCCCTTTTAGCCCTGCCAGTCCAGTGTACACACATGTACATGCTGGGCCTAGAGTGCAGTCTGGGAGTCACAGTGCCCACTTGGCTCACTGTCACGGAAGGCTGTCTGGCATTCTGTCTTCGTGTGGAATCTGCTTGTGGTCCGACTCCTCGTCCTCCGCCGTGTGTGGCCCGAGGCGAGTGTGCACGGGGCCCGCCGTGACGTGGTTCCCCCTTGAGGTGTTGTAGACTGGTGTCGCAGTGAGCCCTGAATCTGGGGCAGGTCAGATTGGGAGGGTGGGGGAGGAGGCGGTTTAAATGCAGCGAAGGGGCAAGTTTTAATAACGTGGACAAACGAGAAGAGCACTCGCCGCTCTGCACCCGAAGTTGAAAATCGTGCAAGCTGGAAGACACGGGCGTGCAGACACCCCTCCTGTCCTCGCCGGCTGAGTGTGAGAGCGCCGGGCTGTGCTCCAGGGAGCCTCCCTGCAGGGTGGGGCTGAGAAGAAGGGGGAGCTGGGCTGTTATCTGTGTCAGGTGGAGATGGCCGCTGGCTGCTGGGCCAGGCATGATTATCGGGGCTGTTGTCGAAGTGCACATGACTTCTTTTTAATGAACCAAATGACTTTTACTGTCAAGTGTTTGGTTTGGGTCTCTGTCTCACCCCTTATACGAAGAAACAGTTTGGAACAGTCAACACCAGTAGAAAAAGGTCCCCTGTACAGATATGGGGAGTACAGGCCACCCCCGGTGCGCTGTTTTTATTTTGTGAAAGCAGATGTGAGCGGTAGTTCTGCATATAGTTCTTTGTTCCTTCATTCCTGTGCCTGTTGACCTTTGACCTTGTGATGGTTTCCTGTGAAACGCTATTCCTTTGTGCCCACTTCCTCCTCTCCCAGTCTGGTGTTTCATGCCTAGGTGAAAAATTTGGTTGTAAAACCCAGCAAGAGACGAGGCACGGGGGTTGGATCTGCAACCGCAGTGATAAATGATGTTCCTGGCCGCTCGTTGCTGTGCTCTTAACAGACAGCTCTGCTGTTGAAGGCGTTCCTTCCATCGCTACCCCGGTGTTTCGACAGGGTGCTGACGGGGCACATCGTCCAGTTACCACATACCTCATACCATGGGTGGGTGGCCATCGCTGTCCCCAGGGAGCTGTGTGGCCTTCGACCCTCACCTCTGGGGGCAGACGGAACAGAAGGCTGTTCCTCTGACCGGCACTCAGGTGTGTTTTGTCCCAGCCCTTAACTAACCAGATCTGCCCTTCGTGGGGTCTGAGTGATGGGGGTCGTTGTTTGTCGCAGGCTAGGGCCCCCCTGACAACAGAAGAGGGAGGGGAAGAGAACCCTGGAATGTTTTGACACAGCCTGGAGTGTTTCTTCCGGTCCTGCCGGGAATCGGTGTGCTGTTCCTCTAGGAAGCCTCATGGAGATTGTCTGGAAATCTGAGAGAGAGGATGCTGTATGGATCTTGGGGTTGATGGCCTAACGACATTGTTTGAAAATGTGCATTCCAATGAAGATGCAGATGGAGTCGGACAAAGAGAGTGACACAGTTTTACAGTAGTTTACAGAATGCCTTACGGCACAGGCAACACAAACTCCAAGCCCTGAGTGCCCTGAGTAACAGAAACAATATACCGAGTCTTCAGTATCTCATAGACCTGTGACACTTCAATATAGTAGGTCCTTATTTTCTAGGAGCAAGTTTTAATCCATTTTGGTGTATGCATTGTAAGGGCTGTACGCTAGTGTGTTTGTATACTTCTACTGGTTGTTAGTACAGTGTGGGAACTGTACACTGGTGTGTGTATGTACTTTTATAAATTGTCTTTAAGAATGTTGCTGCAATGGGGACACCTGGATATTGCCAACATTTCCAACTTCAGAGGATTTTTTGATTGATCAGAGCAGTCTGATGTTCCTCGTATAATTTGCCTTAATTACATTCTGGTTTAAAGATTAAATGACAACTAGGTAGAAAAGAAAAAAAGACAGCTAGAGAGAAAAGTAGGAAAACTGATTATGAGTTGAAAAGAGGGAAGGCGAGCTCCATGTTCTAGGTCACCTGGAAAGGCGAGATTGGCGCTAAGTACTTGAACTTTAAGTGAGCCTGCTACTCTGGTTATTGAGGGAACCCCGATTTCCTGTGTAAATAACACCTTGGTTAAAAACAGCTTCTGTTAGTGGGTACATTTTTAGAAATTGTTTGGTTTAGAAGGCAGTCTTTCTGCCTTATCTTTTTTTTTCTGGGTGATTAGGACATTAGGCCTCTGAAAAGCATTATTAGAAGGTTTGTACGTAGTCTGACTTGTGCATTGTATGTATTCTGTGTGTTATTTAGTGTTGTTGTTGTTGTTAAAAATATATTGTGTTTAATTCAGCATGCCTGAATTATTACTCTTTTCTCCAAAGCTTTGCCAGAGAACAAAACTCATTTGCCTCTATACCAACCTCTAGGTTGTTTTTGGTAACATTTTTATAAATTAGGATTACTTAATTTATGTGTTGATTAATCCACTTGGTAATTCCTGATATTCCTCCGGTTTCACAACCACCTTTTTACTAACTATAGATTGACAGTGTCCTACAGACTGTCAGTAAATTATTGGGGTGTTACAAAGGTGTGTATATTTGCTGTTCTACTGGTTCTCAGTCCACTGTACAGGCTGCACACTAGTGTGTGTATGTGTACGTACATGTGTACATGCTGTCCTACTGGCTCCCAGTCTACTGTACGGGCTGCACGCTGATGTGTGTAGATATACTATCCCACTAGCTCTCAGTACACTGTAGGGGCTGGTGTG